AGAGAGACGAGCCTTGGTGGTCGCGGAACCGCGTGCAGCACGACACGCTGCATCGAAATTGAACGTATCGCGGTGCAAATGAAGCAAACTGGGGGGCCTGAAAGACCCTAACGATTTCATTCTCCGGGACCATTTTAATCTAGGGTTCTTGTACAGCCTTGTATCTTAACTTTGGATACAACTTGTATCTTAACTTTGCCCGTCTTTGTGTCTACAGGGAAGCGTCGTTTTTCGAAATAATATTTGGAATTAGTTTGTGAGATATTTTAAACAATTGTCTGCTATGAAAATGATGCTCTTGTTAGAGTCATCTGTTAGCGTCGACGTCATTGTAGCTATGGAAGAAACTGATGACGGGATGCGTTGGTTCTTGGTTTCTAATTTTAGCTTATTATGCTATAACCCGGCCGTTTGCTACGTGCCTATAATTAAGCTACAGAGATAGCCGAGGGTCTATCTAATTAAGTTACTAAGTTAGCCAAAGTCAAGGTCGACGTGGCTTTAGGCAGCCTGTCTTCCTGCAATAGGAAATATTGGTTTCTGAACTCCTCCTCTCTCATTGAGAATTAGAGATAACTGTTACATGTACATTATTCGTCTTACACACTTCAAGTGTATCATTAACAATGATGCGTTGAATTGTCGACTAAAAAAAATTAAAAAATCATACCCAATGGAAAGGTACACTGTTCTTCGTTTTTATCGACGACACAAATATATCTACACGCCTGTTCAAATTGTTTTCTTGTATAAGGATAAAATTATCTTCGCAGATAATGTTGCACATTTTTGCTTTATAGAATATTTCATATATGAAAGCTTTCAACTATAATTTACACGCGTCCAAGGTGTCTTCTCTTCTTAATAGCTCGCTAGGTATTCGAGTGTAATCAGAGTTAGCAAATACAAAGAGTTACCAAGTTCTTGTTTACAAAAGCATTTCGGAAACTAAACAGCCTACGAAAATAAAGATAACTCTTGGGATTGGAACGACGTTCCGCGAATACGTCTATCGCTGTTCCGCTCCAATGCATGCTAATGGTAAAGTTCTTTGAGTTTTATCTTGCTTGTCTCTAGATAACGTTCATTTAGCACAATACCGTTCCAAGAAACACTCCGTAGATCGTGAAAATTTACAACGAGATATTTCTTGAATCAGTCGTTTCGAAATCGTGTCTAAAAATAATACTTCCTGGCCCGCACAAGACAAGCAGATGTGGAATTGATCGAAGAATATCCACTTAGGATCTATGAAACACAGGTGTATATATATCTAAATTACTTTAATTCGAACCCATTCGATTCGTGACATTTAAAAGGGCCCTAATGCTGAATACCACCGCTGATAAGAGTCTAATTCGCTTCGCTCCAGCCAATTGTTTGCACGTGTCTCATTTCGCGTCGACGCGTCAAAAACGTTTTCTCGCTTGCTTGTTATCGCCTAGCTCAAACAATCCTGGCGTCAGCAATGGGCAAAACACTTATCTTAATTTCAAATAGAGCCAGCGAGACAAACAACCGTTTTACTAAACAAAAGTAGAGTTGATATTTCAGAATGAAATACTTGACGATGAACGAATAAAAAATTATTTTATTTTGTATGTTTCTTCGTTTTTATTCTTCGGTTTTATTCGTGACCTATTATTCGAATTAAAAAAGCTATTTAATTCACATCGTCACCTTGGACGCTCTTTATTACTAGTATGGGTACAAAGTGCAACTACTGCACTGATATACCAGCGTTCAGGCAACGATTTTAACCGCTATTCGCGTAACGTGAACAGTCTTTTTTTTTGGATCGAGTAATTACTCATCATTAGCCTCGAGGCGCAACTCCAACAGCAGAATGTTCGCCACCTTTTTTCTTGGCACGTAAATGCTTCCTGTATCTCAAGGAACTGAAGAATCCAAAGAAAAAGTGCTCTCGCGTTCCTGGCACTCTAGTCGATTGACTCGAGCTTCCATAAAGAAATTGAAATTTTAGGTCTATTTTCATTTAACTTTAGTTAACCTACACCAGCACTGTGCCTCGAACAGAAAAACAAGGAATTTGACCCGATACAAATTATATTTGACGCCAGGCGCAGAAGTGGGGAGTGACCTTGAGCGGCCAATTGAGCTTAATTCGATTGTAGTATTCACGCAGTAGGTCAGAACATCGCACGTGAATCGAGATAGGATTCGAATGGAATTGAAATCATTCCGAGTTGATCTCCTATCCCGATACAACTGAGATAGCCTGACTGTAAGTGTAGCAGTAATAAAGATGTGTGAAAATAATAATAGTGTTAGAGTGATATAAAAATACCACCGATTAGGAGATTCGTATCATAACGAGCCACTTCCCATTGGTACGAGTCACTCGGAACAACTCGATCACCTGTTGATTACGCGAGGTATCGAATTGTTCTGTTGGACAGATTCCATCATGGGGTCTGAGCGAACCGAATCACCACCCACTCGCTTGAGGATTCCTGAACAAGAACATGTACAGAGCGCAATATGGACGCTAGGTACACACCGTTGCTATCTGAGAAGAATGTCTCTGAATGAGAAAAGTTCCACAACTTCATAATTAAACAGTAATGTTGGAGTGATTCTGATAACGTAAATAGTTTTTAGAAAGGCTTCTCAAGGGTAAAAATTTACCCTTAAAAAAGAAAATTCTAAAGAAGTCAACAGACTGTATTCTAAGTTTGGTTAGGTTCCTTCAATTCCAAAGTTTCAAGAATCCTAACATCAAAATCTAATCAGTAATCAAGCACCCTGCGAAAGAAGATTCTAGTCGGATGATGACGGAGGGGGGGGGGGGGAGGGAGGGGGGAACAGGTTGATCCCATCGCTCGCCAGAGGCATCCTTCTTGGCTCTCCAACTATAGAACTCTCACTGACCTGCAGAAGCACGTGACTGTGTCCTCGACGTCGATAGAGAGAGACGTGTCGATGGCCGAGTACTTAAGCACCTTCCTGCTTCCCAAGCCGAACATCGAACCGACACTGAACCAACTCGCGACCAAAACGTAGGGAAAGGAAACACCGAAGAAAGGGAACGCCGGCCAACGAACTGCGAGGTGGGGGAATTCGAACGAAAATCAAAAGAAGAGAACAAAATACGGGGGAAGAGAATAAGAAAGAGGCTGAGGCGGAGGGAAGAGGGGAAAACGCCAGGAGTCGCGACACTAGATCGACGGAAACACACAGCCAGTCAGCAACGGAACACAGACTGACGTCGCGGCGTTCTCCAGGCGTTCGCCAGGTACCAGCGCCGCGGTCGCTATCGGCTATCGGGCCGTCGCCAACGATAAACGGAGAAAGCTACTCGCGGATCGCGCCAACACCGAGGAGGGGGAATTCCCGCGGTAGGGAGGGACGAGGGAAGGGACGGAGAAACGAGGGGGGCAAAAAAGAACCGAGAGGAAAGAGGAAAAACGGAGGCGAAGAAACGCGTTTCGCGCCAACAGTCCAAATTGATGTCAGAAGGGACTCCGTTGTGAGTCTGAGTAAAATATTGTCTGAGATAGTATCAGGTTGATTTCATACGAAATGTGGTTTTCTTAGTGTTTGAATTACGCGACATGGTGTTAAAAAAAAATACGTATCGATGTACATCTTATCTATGCGCGAGTTGGAGCAGCCCTTTATTGGCAAAAATGAAAATTTGAAGGAAAACAGACATCATGACAGGGACAAGGTATGGTATCACAGATTAGCAAATTAAAATCATAGGAAAGAATGAGGAGTAACAAGAAGAAGATGTCTCGGAGGGGATAGAATTAAAGTAGGAAGTGTACAAGCGCAAAGATTGAAAGCGCAAAAGGATAAAGATTGCTCCAAAATCATTTGGAGTAGATGAGGTTGGAAATGGACGCTATAAATATATAGTAAGATACTAGATAGATGAACTAGCGACTTTTTTGATGGACAACTGACGAGGTGAGCCTAGCCAAAGATGGAAGTTCGTGCGTCGAAGGCTGCGCTAGACAGAGAGAGAAGACGCAGGTGAATATAGGAGGCGTGCTCGTGCGACGAAGAGAGAATCCGTGCACAAAAGGGGCTTCCTCCCTGAGGATGGTACTTTTGTTTCCGTCTTTGTTCTGCTCGTGAACGTTTTCTCCAGCTTTCCCGCGCCGCTCTGCTCGCCTCTCTGTCGGTTTAATGTAATTACCAAGAGAAGCTAGCGCTCGGCGAAACCGAACAAGTTCTTTCTCCTCAACTTCCACGGGACGGGATCGTGGTACCTGTTCCTCAGGGTCGCGGGCAATGTGGGTGCACCTAACGAAGCTCGAACGGAAGGCTGTGGACGAATCGTCGGATCGATTCTAGGAAGACTGATGAATTATTGGAATTTCGTGCGTCGTCGCCGAAAATAGGTTACTTCACCTTTCGATGCCGCGAACAAACGCGTTTAACAAACATTAGGACCGTTTGTTTACAAAAATTTACACGTCGCAAATTGATTACATTTAATCATTCCGGTTATATAAATAATACTACGTGATTCGTGTCTGAGTTTGTGACAGGAGCGACGACAAAGACGGGACATAGTACTACACGTCTTATTACACGCTTTGAAAGGCTAGGTACAAGACAAACACATCAGTCCACGCGTTACTACGTCTTCCAATTCGAAACGGTCGATTATTTTTTGCCTGTTAACTGCTGGCAGCTGCTGATGTAATGGTACTTGTTTTTTTCGTTCTATAGGATGTCTAAGTCAACAGACATTCGACGTGTAAATCGGTTTCGACCATCCTCGGTTACGTAAGAATACTCTCATCATCCTTTCTCTTCAATTTCCGGTATCCAGTGGTGGACTGATAAACGACAACAGCTGACGATTGTTTGTTATCGGTCAACCTCGATGGTTCACATCATTTTTCGATACTAACCGAAGACCTAAACGTGTAACAAAAATATCCAATTAATTTTTATGATATTGTAGACTAAGGACCTCAGGGAGGAAGTCTAAACGAAGATTAAGCCACGGAGATTTGAACATACTATCATTTACATTTGATATAGTCTTGGGTATGAGAGACGCTGATACTACGGTATGCAAAGAAAAACATTTTATTTGGCTTCCCAGAATAATTACAACCGTGTTTCCATTCTCAACGTTTCGACCTTTGGTTTTAGATCCTCGTTCAGGAAATTTCCAAGAGTTATGCAACCAACATTGAATTACATGAATAATTTTGAATTTGCTGAATAATAATGCCACGGGTCGCGCGTAACAGGGTAGAATATTATTGGAAATAGTGAAACAGTGTGTTTCATCTTAAACCATGATGCAGAGCTGCGGAAATAAAGTAGTTTATTTGTTTTAATTCATTCTCGTATACAGTTACATAGTTCTAAGTAGGGTGAAACTAAGTAACTTTGTTTTTGAATAACGTGCACCGTGTCTCGCGTTACTGGATGGTGCATACGTGCATTATCGCGGTATATGTATATATTTTCTGCGCGAAGAAGTGGGCGCAACTGGTTCACGGGCTTCGCGCGTAAAATACTAAAGGTTAAGGTCAATCGATGCATGATATTATTATGTTTCGTAATGCATGACATAAGTGAGAAATAAACCGTCCTTAACGAGTCCCAATCTCAAGGAACTTCTCTTGCGACGAGACACTCTTTGTAATTCTCTGAAGCAGCGGTTGATTTAAATGACAAACGCCAGGGAAGTGATTATCGATCGATGTTATCCAAAGGTCAGCGATTCTTTTAAAGATTAATGTAATGAATGCATTTGTGTATCGTTTAATTTATTTAATCTTACCCGCGATATTTTAGCATGCAATCCAATGTGAGTGGTTTTGTAAATCTACAAATGTAGCTTGGCGCACACAGTCGAGAGATTCCAACGCACCAAGAGTATCAGGATTTATTTTCTCGCAAAGTATCAGAAGACCGAGAATGTAGGACAAGAAAGTTGAACAAGAGTCTCGACGGAACCCGACCAAAGTTAAAGAAAGCTTCAATGGTGGTTCTTCGAAAAAGAAAAAAAAGAAAGAAACGGGCAATGGACGAACGAAGCCCGATAAAAAAAAAAAAAAGGCGTTTCGTTGGAAGAAACGTTGATAAAAGAGAAGAGAAAAGAGGCAAATTAGTCCGCAGGACATATCGGTTATCGATAAAAATTCTGCCAAATGAATTACGCGGAACCTCTGCAGTATCGTCGATAGCCACGATCAGGGAGCCAAAGGGACGAAGGAGATATGGAACGTGAAACGCGAGACGCGCTGTCGGGAGCCAATTCGGTTATCCCGTTGCCGGCAACGAGATAAATATCAATATTAATCAAGTCACGGGTGCGTAACGATGTAAACTCGCGGTGAATCGTTCAAATCGCGACGGGATTGACGGTTCTGAAAGCTGACAGGTTCACATTGCTATCAAGGGACTGGATAAAAAGATAAGCATTCCTGTATGTAGCCATAGAGCATAAAACTGAATAGATGCAATATTTTCTGATACACTTCAACAACTAGGAAAAGAAGAAGAACAGAAGATGTCGACATCGATCTCAACAGATTAACGCAATCCTACGGTTAGCGGAGCTTAACGAGAACTTGTTCACTTCGATTCCGTATAAAGGCAAGAATCGTAATCGAATTTGCTCCAAACATTGCGCAACAACGTTGTTTGCGTCAATGACACCCCTCGTGTTACGGCAACAGTTTATGCGCCATGAAAATAAAATGGATAACAAAATGATATTTTCTATACTTTTGCATTTGCGCGTTTTCTCATACATTTCGACCATGTTTCGACTTGTAAGTCCGTAAACATGCGCGCTCTGGTAATTAATGATTAAAAGGTAAGAGTTACGACAGTATCGGATGCGCGGTGGTTGAGGTGACCTTGAACGGCCAATGACTGCTTCAACTAAATTGGGTAACCCAACACGATGCGGTCAACTGCTGGTAAGTCATTGAAGAACTTGGCGAACTTGTCATACACTTACCTTCATGATCATTTCACTTAGCAAATGGTTCTTCTGGGTTATCATCGGTACCTGACTTGGTTGTTAGAACGGTAAGCAAAAAGTTCACGTGCTGAGTCGCACTTCGTCATAAATTACATTCCCGTGGCGCACCCGGCTACCAGAAAAACTTGTTAATTACGTCAGCGACCACCTACTCCGCGTTTCTCTTAGGCAATCAGCGTTTGTCCTCTGTCTTTTTCAACCGGGGAAGACTAATATTCTTTTACTCCGCAACGGTGATTTGGTTAGACTCTGCGTGGTTTCCTCTTAGTTAAATGGAATTTAACTCTTGAGTAATTGTAATAAATATTTGATGTTTTCAACCTTTTGACTGAATGCTTTTGAATTATACGAGGCTGTTGGGATTTTGTTTAAAACGTCGTTTCGGAAGGGTAAAAAAAAGCCTTCTTTGTCAGAAGCACGGCGCATAAGACGATATTACGCGATAAGCGTGTCTGTGGATAAGCGACAACCCACACGAACAGCTGCATGTATACTCTATGTAACCCGTATTGTCGGCGAAAACTGTTATCGCGAAAACCGTTGATAAAACCGTTTTATCTACGCAGGCAATATACATCGTCGGCCGTGGATTTAAAGTACAATGCGCCACGACCGGTTTTGTTTTGACGTTCCCAATGTTTATCTGATAACCATTGCCGCGAATAAACTGTAACCACGGATAATTTTATTTAATCATCCATCTCGGTTTTTAGTTTTTATTGTCGATAAATGAAGTACTCAAAATGTGTTTTATTGCAATGTTTGGAGGCCTCCTCAGAAATATAATATAGTATTACGTACCACGTGAAAAATATTTTTGAATAACCGTCAGCAATGAAATAAATAACTACGCATATGGCGATCTAGGGTAGGCTCGCGTTTAAAAATTCACCGTCTTCGAAATAGACTGCTGGTACCCGAGGACCGAATTCAGGTTTCCAGAGATCAAAGTTGCTCGATAAATTCAAGTTAACCTACCGATGGAACAGCGATTATTAATGGTCTCACGTCGCGCCGAAACGACAGGGTGTCCAAACAGTTTTGGCGAGCGAAGGATTCGCTAGTGATTCACCGTGGCAAACCGATCGCCAGCTATGAAAGACCAGCGTGAGTCATCATGGCGCTCGGTTTCGAGCCAGCGACCACCACTGCTCACTTTCCTTGTTGCTCGGTGTGCAAACACACATAGTAGGTGGAAGTGTTTTCAAGAGTACACGACGGACACGTATACAAGCCGACCGGCCAGTCACCGAACCATTGTCTTTTGTTTTGCTCGAGAGATCTCTCTCTTGGAGAACAACGTCTCTAGCCCCCCTATCTTTTACGATCGAGGAACGAATTGCCAGGTCGGAATTAGCCGACCTTTGCTTTCGTCTTAAGAACATGGAATGGCAAAATTGTATTCGATTAATACAGGAATAAGAATATCACCATTAGCATGACTTGCATCGTTATTTAAGTACGTCTAGTATCATTGGAACAATTACTCATCGACCTCTACGTGAAAATAAATATGTATGCATATGTATACCGGTTCTCCAAGGAATACGTCTTGCATACGATAGTAACTGAGGACGATCAATATTAAATATACCTATTTGTATACCGCAAAATATATTAGTATAATTTGCTTTATTTCAGAAAAGAGCGAAAGGAACATACATTTTTGCTTTGATCAGTAACAACTCTCCAATTTCGTACAAAATCTTCTAAAACATTTCATCTACTCTGTCTAGAAATGGAAATTAGGAAATAAAATTCTAAGCACAAGTACGTCTCGAAGACGGAAGGGAAAGGAGGATAAAAAAAAACTGGTTTCGTTTCTTTAAATCCCTGTTTACATCACGTGCACGTGGTCCGCGATCGAAGTAGGAAAAAGGGGAAACGTCGTACAACCAGAACAAACGTGCCCAGCGGTGTATAGAAGATACTTTTCCATTGTGTCGATTTCGTTTCCTTTTATTTTTATCCCGGCGACATTCGAGGAACAATAGGATCGCGATCGTGCGCAAACGTGAAGGTCCTTGAATCGTTACTGATCCTACGCAATTCACCTATTATCGTTTCGCGTTAACATTTACCAGATTGGAGCACACTTCCCCACGAGTTTCTCCTTCTGTTCGCTGGAATCGATAATGCCAGTCACTCGATGTTGTAATTAGAAATATTGACCAGCTTTTATCTCTCTTATTTAGAGGTATGGTCTAACGTGACCTTCATTTTGAAAGTCACGCCACAGGAACTAGCTGGAGGATCCAAATTCTAAGATATCACACAAGGAAGCTCATCCAAAGTAACTCTTAGTTTCGGAGTTTGCTTTCAAAAATAGAAGTTACAGTTTTAGTAAAAACATTATTGACCTTATTTTCTTATCGATTAGTATTTCGTCATCATTAGAAGCATCAAACACAATTAGGACCACCCGTTATATAGTGCTAACACGTCACTTCACAGGAAACTATTTCAAAGAATACATTACAAAATTATTCATGCTTTCCGAGTATAACAATACTCCAATAACAAAAATTAAGCATGATAATTGTTCACATATTAGAATATCGCTACATCGTCTTTATTAAGATACTAACACAGTTAGTTCCATATTCCATCGTTGCGGTGCGACAAACCATACGTTTTTAACTGTAACCGCAAAAAGTAGACCACAAACTGTTATCAATTTATAAGAACATTTTTTCACATCATTGAAGGCAACGGAGATACATATTTGGAGTGGTCACCTTAAATGGAACACCCAGCATGTATATATCACGTCACGATTGATCAACACCGTTCTATTTAAGGGTATTTCGCATTAGGCGACGATAAGAGATCATTTTATCGCTAAAACGTAGACACATTCGTGAAAATATTCCGGTATACGGTTACAGTACAAAAAATCTAACTTAAAATAAACAATGCACTACATTTTTATACCACATCATACTTTATCGTAAAGAACAACATGTATCGGGTACCATACCGACTCCAAAACCAGCACGATAAATACGTGCACGTGTCATAGTACATTAAATAGAGAAAGAATAAAGAAAAGCGATATGATATATTTTTGGATCTAGGACATACACGTACCCACATTTCTATTTCTACGGACAACCTAAAAAGAACAATGACCATACACTACCTTACTCCAACTGTCTAACTACTTTCTATCTTAAGTAACGACTTATTGAACGCTGATAAAACACTATCAAAAATATCGACAGGGAAATCGTGGAACAAATATATAACGTATAGAGATGAGCAAAATTTTCTTCATCGAATAAACGTTATCGGTTTTATGGAAAGTCGCGCGCGATTCACGTTTACGTAAGTCGTCCGAAGCAAACGATATACGCTTCCTCTCCTACGTATCGAACGATAAAAGGTTGGAAATAAGAAATCCAATCAAGATAACGTAACTTCTCGGCGCTGAACAAGCACACGTAAAGACTTTTTTTCCCGAACTTTTTCGTTCGATGTTGTCCTTTCGTACAGCAATATCGATATTCTCGACTTACGTTGGGTCTTCTAACCTTATCGACGAGTGTAATCGACGCTGTCATTGTCGTTGTCACTGGTTATCGCGAAAATGCGACCGATGGTGCACGTTGCGAAACACTTTGTGTCGGAACAGCGATTCTATATAACACGCGTTATTTCGTGACAGTGGCGGACGAAATTTCTGGGTTGTCATTGCGCGCGGAGCTGTTGAATTTTTCGCATCGAAACGACGGCACACGGGGATTACTTTCTCACAGAATAAGCGAGAGGACACGCGATTTTACCGAGAGCGTCAACCTCGACAGGGAGGTTAGGCCGTTCGACGGACAACGAGGTTAATAGTTCCTTTTTCTTTCCCTCCCCTCTGCGACACATCGCGAACGTGAATTCGGTTTTCTCGGAGGGAGGAAAATTCGCGGCGGATCGCGCGTGGAATAATTTTGCTCATGATACAGAAAAAAAAAACTTACCCCATAAACCAGTCCACGGTATCGCGGAGATACTCGGGTAACCTATCCAGCTTGGATGATTTTCAGTTGGATCACCGCCGAGGAAAGTAGCACGAGAGTCGAGAAAACAAAATAAATTCTCTCTCTCTCCACTAGCACCAGCAGCAGCAGCAGCGGCGCACGTTTCGCGATCTCGTGAAATCTAACATGGCGAAGCTCTATTGTCACCTGTTCCCGTCATGCCTCACTTGTGCCCTCCCCCCCCTTCGCCCCGAAAATACTACCGATTTATCGCCGCCACCGCGTAACCTCGCGCGCGTTCACGCTTTCCGCTCGGTTCGGTGCTTCGTTACGCGTTACTCGACTGGCTGTGTTCTCCGTTGTTGCTGAAACTTCCTGGCGTCCGACACCACACCGCACGAGGAATGTCCGCCACGAACAGCGCACAGCTGATCGCCTAACGTCGCGACGAATACACTCGCGCAACCCCCCGTTTCCCTAACTCACTATAGAGGGTAGTACCTACCACGACCATTTCTGCCGAGCAGTTCTCGACACAGACTGAACGATAGGCAGATGGTAACCTACTGCGCGTCGGTAACAGACCCCTGGCCTTTTTAAAATGGCGGATCGACAGTAACGTAGCCAGTAGTCACGGGGCCAGGGTGCCAATACTAAGGTACGTGCAGTTAATCTTTCCTCCACGTTAACGCAGTATTTACTTTTACTTTCTTCTACCTTGACTTTTACCGTCTCTAACTTGACTAAACCTTTAATGTTTAAAGTTTTGCCTTTGTTATACTACTCGATGCTTTCATGGAAATGTGTACTTACGTACATTCTATATTCAAATCCAGATGGCAGCACCACACGGAACTTCTTTCGGATCATTCCATTCCGGATGTTGGTTAAAACGATACAAATTGGAGGATACACAAAGTTCATAACGAGGTTCTATGTGGAAGAGTGTTTAGCTCCTATTGTACAGTCTTTATATTAGAAGCATATTCCAAGGTATTCAGTTCAATATCTGAAATTTTCAATATAGCAACGATAGTCACACAAAAAGTAACAAATTACATTTCAAAAGGAATTAATATAGTATAGAACAGTCTCCTGACGTAGGTTAGAGTTATCCTCTAATCTTATATCTTCAACAATTGTCTTGTGTGAAGTGGGTTTTAAAGTAGATAAAGGAAGATATTGTAACCCAGTACAGTACTGGGAATGATTTGTCTATCTTATACATCTGATGCAGGGGCATTGATATTCGCTAAATAAATATATTACATTAGTCTGTGTAGCAATATATATTATTTCACAATTTTACACGTTATTCATTGATAAGAATATTTACAATTTTCGCATTAACTATTAAAAATAAAAATATATTTACAAAATCGACAATATACGAAACAACAATACTTGAGCAAAATATTGTTGAAATGAAACAGATTAATCTGAATAATCTGACGACGAGCTGTCCTCGTTTATGTTAATGATAATAGGTTCTGTATTGTTTTCAATAATATTGTCTAGTTCCCACATCATTGTCTCTACTTTTTCTTCAACATGTTGGACAGCATGTTTCCACTTTTTTAAACTTATCGAATTCGCTGCCTCTACGACCAAATGTTGAATATCGTTAAATTTAGCGGTGTTACTATACGATGCTACGTAACTTTTAATTTCCGTCCAAATCAATTCGATCGGATTTAACTCGCAGTGATAAGGCGGCAGTCGAAGCACAGTTTTACCGCTTCTTCTTGCCAATTCGTCTATGACATAGGCATCGTATTTACTTCTTAATGTATTTACTATCGCGAGCAACTCGGCTTTCAATAAATTCTCGTCAAATTGAATATTCTTCGATACTAGCCAGCTTTTAATAGTTTCTATTTTAGTAGCAGTGGTTGGGATTTTTTCAACCTTTCTGCAATGGTAGTGAGCGTCATCCAAGACGATTACGGAATGTTTTTCTAATTTTGGCAGAATCTTTAAAAACCAGTTTTCAAAAGAGTCATGGGTTATTTCTTCCTGGAAATCACCAGACATTTTCGACTCGAAAGCCCACATCCCCCCAGGCACAAAACCGTCTCTGCTACCGATATGACAAACGATAAGTCGTTTTCCCGTGCTAGAGGAATTTTTCACGCCTGTGTATAGTCCCGATGAAGTAGCTTGCATCGAGGGACTAATGGTCTCAACTTTCACAACATGTTGCCTTGTACGGTCAGCGTTTATCCAAGTTTCGTCCAAATAATATATCTTGCGTCCGTCGTTCCTATAGGTTTTTATTTTTCTCAGGTACTCTCTCCTCCACACTACAATTTCCTCTCTGTCGAACAACATGCTACTTCGCCCTCTACGAGCGTGTTGAAAATTCAATATTTTCAATAATTTATACAAAATCGTTCTATTAACGTTAGGCACATCGTTGTCATCATTCACAACTTTCAGTACTTTGTCGGCAGTAGGAATTTCGTTTTTCAGATAGAACTCGTGCACCTTCCGCCGTATCGCGTTTTTGTCTAAATCGTCTATCGCATCGATAGTCCTATCATAAGTCCTTTTCTCTTTGGGAATCGATAACGTGCGTGTTCGTTTGTATTCTCGAAGAACCCTATACACGGTAGACTTACACACCCCTGTAATTATCATCAGCGTGAAAACACGATTTTTCGTATTAAATGAAACACTTTCACACGTTTCAGGGCCATTTTTGCCACTAAAATCAATTTTTTATCAAATCTTAGGCACATTCAAAGAACGCAATTAATATCTTCATCGTTTAATAAAATTTGAAAAAGATCGATTACGCGGCAAAAGTGACCCAAATCAATGAACCCGTTCATTCAAATGTATCGCATTCGCTCACGGAACTCTTTCCACGGTAATTAAAATTATTCTTCTTGAATCATTACCTGCAATGGTTGCAGCTTTCTGAACGATATCTGTTATTAACATGGTCGAATTCTCTTGAATCAAACTCTTATATATGTTCAGAATCAACTGTTTTTCCTCGACGGATAGGTGCGTCTTTTTAATTCTTTTATTAGGGGGACCCAAAGTGAAATCATTAGTATCAATTTCGTCGGCAGTTTCCGTACTGGACATAGTATTTGATTTACAGTAACTGAAAGTTGATTTTTAACTTTATTCATGCGAAAGACGCAACGTTTAAAAATGTTTTGAACTTTTAATATATGTAACGGTTCCATGTTTTATTTGCCAACACGAGGAAGAAGCTGATTTAAAAACAGTAGAGTGTTAAAAATGTGTACTGACCCCGAAGAGGATGAAGCGACGAGGTTTTACATCGGGTAAGACCCGAAGGTTTTGTCGCTTACCCTCGCTTTTTCCTGATCACAACACATGCGCTGTGATTAGTTTACATTTCCAGCGAAAGTTTAAGGAGAGTTTTCTACAGAATAATCCGATGCAATTGCTCTCTACCGAGAAATAAATCCTTATAGTCGACGACGCGAACTAAGTTTATACTTACAGATAAAGACGATCTTTCGACTCTGAAGCTTTACATGCGAAGACCGAGTAAATGATGCGCTATTAACGGACGGTATGTACCGTCTGACTTGCTGTATGTTTAACTGGAAAGATGGAGCGGACGAAAACACTACTGCTTGCTTGAGGTTCACGTGATCATAACCTCATTGGTCCGCTGTATCGACGCGCCGATTAGCCCAGGGACGAACAGTAGCGGATCCGTCGGGATGGAACGTGAATAGACTTAACAAACGGTTAGAGAACCGTTTGCAGAGCTTTCATTTTACAAAACTGCTCGTAATATTGGTAATAGCACAATAAAGGATGTACAAATACAAAGTATTCTTAGATTATTCTTCTCCCTAGAAGCATCCAATCACTAAACTACACTAATACTGGTTCAGTGGGGCCATCGGTGGGAAAACGCCAAAGTTTGTAGTCAAATTAGTTCCCATTGTAGCTGTTAGATGACGCAAAGTGTTTGTTAATCAGTGGCGCCATCGATGGAAAAAGGCCCAAGTTTGTAGTAAAGTTAATTTCCATTATTGCCATTAGATGGCGAGATAAGTATTCGTACATTTTTTTGTTATATCCAATAACAAATTAGTGAACAAGCATTGTAATATTAAAATACGAATGAGAATTATTTCTCAACCCTTCATTCTATATTTTTTTATTAAAACAAACAAATGGCCTCATCTAGCGTTGACAGTAGGAACTATTCGAGGACAAACTTGGGCGTTTTCCCACCGATGGCGCCACTTGATTGGAGTTTCCTGCAAAAAATGGTATTCATTCAAAAATGAAATTAATATTCCCGCTAAAGTGTTATTTTGTTTAATAAGAATATTAGTTGCTGAAAATGGTTAATGTCACATCTGGAGTACATGTCGGAAAGGTTAAGGAATTGTTGTTTCTTTGTACTTAGGTTCATATGTACATAAGTTGTGTGTAAAATTATAAATATGGATAAACCAGAGCTAAAGAAACGCGGTTACTATTCCGAAATCGTCACTGGTAAGTAATCAAGTAAAAGTAAAGCAATATCTGTATGAAATTATTAATAGTACAAGATTTCTGTAAGTAAACGTATAATATACAGGCACCGCGGAACATCCCGTGAGACCAGAAGTAGTTCTGTTAACCACTGCACCCAGAAGAACCAAACTTGCTTGGCAAGTTTCCACCGAACATCACAGTGCTCGCGTGCAACAATTAAACGACGAAAATACTTACAAGCTCCTCGGCGAAGCTAAGAGATGGATGAGCTTCCCCGAGGATCGATCAATCGTGAGCAGGAGATAATATATACGTATATACATGAATATTATATAAATTTGTTTAAAAATACGGATAGAATCGTCACAACAATGAATCGAATAGAACCCTGAACGAACGTTTCTGCCACTGTTTAAATTGAAAAATTGATTCTATCCACAAGACGTTTCCCGCGACAACGTTCGCGCCCAAAGTGCAAATGGAGAGGAACGTGGTGCCAAAACGATTGCCGAGAAACGTTGAGATGGAGAGACGGCGCAGATTATACCGAAATTTGAAAATCGAGGACGCTTTGAACGAGGTGAACGTCACGCCAAAGGAAATGCTGCCTCCTTCCGCTATTTCGCCGCTGCTGTCCACAGAAGAAATTTATGGCTTGTTCGCCACCACCCATATCCTTCCATTGGAGATCTTCGACGACGAGGAATACGACTGCAGGTAGGGGATCGATGGAAGTTTCGAATACGCTCGAAATCTAGATCACCACCCCACGGTGTAGCGAAATAATCGAACAGATTGAATCAAGACTTTCCTCGTGGTAATTTAAGCATTCATTTTCCACGTACATGAGCAGAACAATCGAGGATTGGATAAATCTTGGCGTCATCGATGGGGAACGGTATCCATTGCCAGCCACGGTATTTGTTCCAAGATTTCAGGAGGAAGACGAGAGATTTCAACATATAGACGACCTGACGGTGCACCTATTTTCTTGGCACAACGCTGCAGTCACCAATTATGATTATAAGAAGAAACTGTGGACGGTGCTCACTCTGGATGGAAGAAAGCGGAAGTATTTCATACCAAGAATCTACATCCGATTTTATGCTGAGAACCCTAGGATTTTTGCCAAGAGAGTTGCCGTGGCTATCGAAAACAGACGAATCGCAGAGGCATCCATAAAGTAATAACTGCAACGCTGATCCTTATACAGAGTATATGAAAATATACAGAAAATGTTTCTACAGGTACAATTTCTATTTGGACTGCATGCAGATGGACGGTATGCAGATTTTGAACGAAGAACAAAAGGAAACCATCATTCGCCTAACAGTGATACGTAGTCATTTCAAGAGAAAGAAAAAATCGGCAGTGCGTAGACATTTCTTGTATAAATTCGCGTGCCACAAGGATTAACTCAACCTTGAAAATATATTGTCAAATTTCTCTGTGTTTTTACATCGAGTTTTAGAGCCACACTGTACATCGCTCGTTAATTACCGTGTGTTTCAGCTGATGGACGAGATCTGTCTGGATTACCAGCGTACAATGTGCGATCTCATGTGGAGGCAAATGATAGAACGAAATCCTGAAATGTTTAAATTCATCACGTGGACTCCCTGCGTCGAGACGGAAGCGGCGCCAGAAAAAGGAAAAATCGATACGAGCATGGAAAACTTCACGGTGATCTTTTCGCTCGTTAATTATGCTTGGACAATTGCTCCTACGTGGCTTAAAATGTGAAGAACTTTTGATAAAGTACAATAGCGAATAATGTATATAATAATTTTCATTTAGGAAACAAAGAAGTTCACTCATTGGATTACGCTGTACGTGCTGAGAGAAGTGTACGAAGCGATGGCCTGCGTTGTGGCAGAATGCATCCACGTGTCTAGCATGAATCTCTTTGCTTCCAACTTGGGGAAATTCATGCAGCTGGAAGAATTTGAGGATATCCAAACCTTGGCCATTACAACCGTCATCAAGTATCTGAGAGAGCCGTGGCTGGAAAAAATATCGCAATCCGTGAGATTGTGTTTAAGGGACGTTGGGAAGGGTTGGTTCAATCTTGAACAAAAAGTTCACGGTGTCTATGACATGATGAAGTTAAACCGTTTCATGAATCTTGGCACTCTGCGTATGCAGGTGTGTACAAATCAATGAAATTGTAGTGGAGCTAAAAACATCAGGGATGAATAAACATATTATGTTCGTGCATTACGTTTTTTGGAATCTGAGAAGCATGCACTTCGGATTCTCGTGGAGAATTCTATCCTGTCGTACAGGGAGAGTCTAGAGAGTCCTGCATTGTGTGTGTTAGACGTAGACGAATCCTTCGAGTGGGGGAAGAATCTCGTCGAAAGTCAATTTCAATCTAGGTTCAAGCCTATCTTCGCGATAGAGATTCAAATGAACGATCGCGAGGTATTCTATTCAACGAATCCCAACGAATTCGTAGTAAGTACACGTTGTTACCGTGACATTTTCGAAGTTCTTCGTGAAATCAACATTTTTCTGTTCGATTCGAAATAAACTCGAGAGTTTTTCCAGCACATAACACTTTTTCGTTTCTATCAAGGAAACGATTATATCGTTGTACGACAACGCGCTCACCATGTGCCATCAAGTTCGTCAAGTGCATCCCTTCCTACTTCTCGAGCTCAAGTTCCCAGTCGATCTTTTCTTGAGCTCCGTTGGTTTGCTCGAGGAGCACGTTTGCGACGTTCGCGACAGCTTGAAGTTGGCTTATCAAAAGTCCGCCATACCATTGAGAGCCTATGCGAGGAAATATCATAAATTTCTGGATCTCTTCAATCTCGACATTACCAATTACATCGAGTAAGTACCAAATCGGATTCCTTATACTCCAATACACTCTTGAATATTCCATCCTTTATGGCGTTCTAACTCGATTGTTCCGCAGCATTGTATTAAATTCTATTATACTGCGCAGCGAGTTCAAGAAAGAGGAAGATCTCACAACGGCGGACATAAAGGAAGCGATAGCGACGCAGATCTCGTTAAAACATAATATTGAGGTTACTATACCTAAAAGCATCATCATCGGTCCATTCTACGTGAACGTACGACCCTTGAGGCACGTTCTCACTCAGAAACGCCACGATTGTTCTACGGGGTTGCTCGCGATGCTCACAGAAAGGTTACGCACAGAGATTGATAAAATTCTGGATGACTATAGAGAAATCAGGATTAAATTGAACGAGGTGCCGCAGAGTATCGAGCACATATTCGAGATGCGCGAGTGGATGGAGACCATACCGCTTCGGGTGCAGGATCTGGAGGGCAGAATGGACACGTTGAAGTTCGACTTCGACGTTCTGGATAGCTTCTGGTGGAACTTGTCGGACGAGGACTTCGAGGCGAAATGGGAGGCTATTGGATCTCCTCTACAGATACAATTGCAGGTGAACAAGCATCATGTCGACCTCTTTTCATGTTTTTTTTACAATATATACATTTAACGTTCAGATCAAGGAAACTAACGAACGATTCGTCGAGGAACAGGAGAAGTTCTACAAAATTCAAGTGCAGGACGAGGTCCTCCTTCTCGAGAGGATAGACACTCTGGTGGGCAACGTTCAGAACATTGCTCTTCAATCGGACATCAACAGGGTGCACGAGACAGCGCTCGACGTTAAGCGCGTTTGGAAAGCGATGATGGATTGTCGCGAGACGGGACTGCTGCTCAACCAACGACAAAAGTTGTTCGGAATGAAAGTCGTCCCCTTTGAGCATTTGCACAAACTAATAAGGGAATTCGAGTCGTACAGGAGTTTATGGGTCACCGCTTCAGGCAAGCATCGAAGCGTTAAACTGTGAACCAATATCTATTGTAGTCTATTCACAGCTTCCTGTTCTCAACGAGATTCTCTTCCAATGCAATCGAATGAAATCTCGATAATGGCACTTCCAATGTAATGTGCAGGGTGTTCCTCGTTTATATAGAATACCTTCGAGTCTCTTCGAGGATGTAGACTCACGTATAGCTATGTAATTAATTGTTTTACAACGAGGTGTAATTGTTATACGCAGACTGGCTCAGATGGCACGAGGTGTGGATGGACAATCCTCTGATCCACGTCGACGGCAGTCAGGTAGACTCCCTCGTTATCGATATGTACCGAATAATCACTCGATCTATCAGGACGTTCCAGGAACAGCCACGTAGGTTGACATGGTTTGATTAAATTATTGAAACGTATAAGACACTCTGAGAATTTGTATTGTCTATTGAACAGAGGTGCAAGCGATAGCAACAACCATAAAGGACCAAATCGACGAATTTAAACCTTATATCCCTCTGATACAAGCCCTTCGAGAACCAGGAATGAAGGACCGTCACTTCGAACAACTGAGCGCCCAAACGGGGATACAAATGACACTTACGCCGATCATAACATTCAAAAATCTCTTGGTACTCGGTATTCACGAGTTCGAGGAATTGGTGAAGACTGTCGCTGACACTGCAGCGAAGGAGTACGCCACAGAACGTACCTTGAACAAAATGATCGCCGAGTGGGAATCGATCATAATGGAAATTCTTCCTTATAAGACTACTGGTGAGCATACAGAGAAACTGACGAGACAAAATCGCTATAATTATTCGCAGTACTACAACTCCAACTTTCGTTATTTGTAGGCACGTACATAATTAAGATTGCAGAGGAGACGATGATGCTTCTCGACAATCACATTCTCGGAGTGCAGCAGCTTAGTTTCAGTCCGCTGAAGACCGCTTTCGAGGACGAAATCAACGAATGGGAGACCAAGCTGAAGCTGACGCAGGAAGTGCTTCTTCTCTGGCTGAGCGTTCAGAGGTAGGGCGTGGACTGTAACGAAATAGAAATGAAACGTTTGACGATGGAAGTGCGGTCCATGTGCAGGGATTGGCTGTACTTGGAACCAATATTTACTTCGGAGGATATCACCACGCAGCTGCCAGCGGAAGCGAGGAGGTACAATGCCATGGAACGAAACTGGAGACGAATTATGAAGAATGCTCACGAGAATCCTTACGTAATCCGAATCCTTGCTATCGTAATATCGATAACTTTGGTATTTCACGTTCGTGTACCGTATCGAAATTCTTCTCGTGAACAGATCATCAAGATCTGTCCTGATAAGAATCTTCTGGAGAGCCTGCAGGAGTGCCACAGCCTCCTGGAAGTGGTGCAGAAGGGATTGTCCAACTACTTGGAAATAAAACGAAGAGTCTTCCCGCGGTTCTATTTCCTCAGCGACGAGGAGCTCCTCGAGATCCTGGCTCAGGCGAAGAACGTTCACGCGGTGCAACCTCATCTGAGGAAGTGTTTCGAGGCGATACAGGAGGTCAGGTTCGAGAGCGACTTGGAGATAACGAGAATGTACTCAGCAGAGGGCGAGGAGGTGATCTTCCGGCCGTCCATGTACCCCTTGAGAAGCGTCGAGTATTGGCTCGGTGACTTGGAGAAGGTGATGCGTAATACCATCAGGGAAATCATTCGAGATGCTCTGAGTGTCATCGATTCGACCCCGAGGAAGAAATGGGTCTACATGTGGCCAGGACAAGTGACTCTTTGCTGTGGTCAGACTTATTGGACCGCCCACGTTGAAAATGGAATTCTACAAAACAGACTCAACGACTATTATCAAGAGCTGCTGGGACAGGTGGATAATCATGGCTTGGACATTTATTTTATTTCATTTGATTGGGTTCCGGGTGAAATTAACCATAAGTACAATGGAAACATTACTTTTTATCAAAACCATCTGAGTGATTTTATTGAAATAGGCAGCTACTAACGAGAGGAGGGTATTTGTGTCCGTCTCCATCAGCGAGTAGAGCCTCTATAATACCTCTGTAATACTTTCAGTTTTCTATGATGCAATCTCGCATAAGTCGAATATGATCCATGTAAATTTGGCCTGTCGCTTATGGATCGAGTGGAAAATCCCATAATTTTCACTACACATTATCCTATCACTATATCTCTCATGTCTGTTCTCTGGGCGTGCTTCGGATTCACTTGAGAATGGATCTCCAATAACTAGAGATCCATTCCATTATGTTTCTAATCCAGGCTCTGTAATGTCGGATGTAGCGGTAGATCTCATTCGGAGTGATATCAGAGGATTAATTGAAGCTTTGCTATTTGCTATTTGCATTGAACCTGCAATGCCTCTGATGTATTAAAGTAGTACAATGTTACCAAAATGTTACTTTCATTAAAAATCGATTTTGATTTGGTCATAGACACTATGGAAATATTAACATTGACTGAAATTAATGTTGTGTGCAATGTTCTCGCATTTGTCCATCTACCACTTAAAACGATTTGATTAAAATTGGCAATTAGCCACCTTTCCCCTCGTTAGTAGGCGGTGTCTATGTTCTAGTGGGCGTGGCGAGCGGAGAGAGACGGTTCCAGTAGATATCTTCCGTCTTTTAATAAGAAGTATAAGTGTACTTTAAATAGTCATAGTTTAATTATTTGAACTAAATACACAGCTTTTTTAAAATCAGTATTGGCCTAGCTAATTCTGACGGGATGGAATTCTCACGCAGCTTAACGATCTACGGGAACTGGTACGCGGCCCTCAAACAGAAATTCAGAGGTTAATGCTGGAAGCCGTGATTACTATCGAAGTACACGCCAGGGACGTTCTGCACACGTTGGTTGTACAGAACGTATCGAACGTCAACGACTTCGATTGGATATCGCAGCTACGATACTACTGGGTGAACGACAGCGAGCTGAAAGTGCGAGCGGTGAACGCCGAATTTCCATATGGGTAATTTGAATTCTTTTTCCACTTTTCTACAAAACAAGCAACAGCTAATTTAATCCCCTCGAGGGGTAACAATTAGGAATCATTGACAAGTGTTAATGGGACCACTGTTCAATGGATATTGGTTGCGGAAAATGGGGCAATATTTTGTGAACTCTAGAGATCGTTACTGGTCTGTTATCAGAATTGCATGCACGACAATTGTGATTATATTTTTCGAAGATACGAGTACCTGGGGAACACTGGCAGACTCGTCATCACCCCCCTAACCGATAGATGCTATCTGACCCTCACTGGAGCTCTGCATTTGAAGTTTGGCGGCGCGCCAGCTGGCCCAGCTGGAACTGGAAAAACAGAAACAGTAAAGGACCTCGCTAAAGCATTCGCTATTCAGTGCGTGGTTTTCAATTGCTCGGATCAATTGGACTTCATGTCGATGGGGAAGTTCTTTAAGGGCCTCGCAAGTGCAGGTGCATGGGCGTGCTTCGACGAATTCAATAGAATCGATATCGAAGTATTGTCCGTAATAGCTCAGCAAATCATGACGATTCAACAGGCGCAGCAAATGCGTGTCGATACGTAAGTTCTTAAAATGACAATAAAATTAAGTTCAGGATGCTTTGATGTTCGTTAATCGAAAGTCTCATAATTAAAACTTACCTTTCAGATTTGTGTTCGAAGGAGAAGAAATAGTCTTGAAGCCGTCTTGCTCCGTGTTCATCACTATGAACCCCGGTTACGCTGGTCGTACAGAATTGCCAGACAATTTGAAGGCTCTGTTCCGCCCTGTGGCCATGATGGTACCCGATTACGCTCTTATTGCTGAAATTTCATTATTTTCCTATGGTTTTTCCGAGGCAAAAGCTTTGGCTGGAAAAATAACGACAACGTTTAAATTGAGCTCCGAACAATTAAGCACACAGGTCAGTGATTATTAAACCCTTTTCTTTTTCCTCCCTTTTTCGTATTTTAATTGGCCATACCATCTCTGGAGATTTTCTAAAGCGTTACGTACAGCATTTAAATCACGCTACTATTTGCATACCGAATTTCAAGGCGCAATACTTCTTTTATCATCGATTCGAATTACAGTTCACATAAACGATTAGAATAAATTTACGTTCCTCGACGTTGTTAGTTTATTTTCGTTTAGGATCATTACGACTTCGGTATGCGAGCAGTGAAGACGGTCATAGCAGTTGCAGGGAATTTAAAAAGGGAACAGAAAGATTTAAACGAGCAACAGATCTGTTTACGAGCTCTGCGAGACGTAAACGTTCCGAAGTTCCTCAAAGACGATTTAACATTGTTCAACGGTGAGCAGCTTTTATTAAGACCAACGTGTTGCGCCCATTCAACTGTACATGCAATTTCATATTAAAACCTTCTTTTAATACCACTTCAATCTGCATGGAAATACTAACACGAAGGCGTACACTGTCGACCAAAAGTATGAGAATGGTTTATTGTTCTCGAGAAATACTGCGAATGCGAGATAAATTCTTTCTTAAACCAATACTATCTGTTCCAGTATTTATCTACCAGTATATCGTTTATCTTTTAAAGAAATACACGTTTGCAATGATACGCGATACGATACTTCATTATTCATGCACTTTTGAACAGCAGTGTACTTGGAGGGCACGTAGACACTTTAAAGTTGAAGCTTAGCTCTTGATACCGGTTGTTACGCAAATGACTAACGTTCATTTGTCCGTACTACTCTTACTTTAATTAGGCATCGTCTCAGACCTCTTTCCGCGTCTGGAGGAGAAGAAAGTAGACTACGGGATCCTAGAGGCGGAGATACGAGCAACGATCGTTAGGATGGGCTTGGAGGAAATCGATGGTATGAATCTTTCTTGTAACTATTAACTCTTCCAGTATTTATTTATTTGAACACACAGAAGAATTATCTCTGATTCTTTAAGATACATATGAACATTGTCAGTTCATTTTGGAGAAATTAGCTTGTCCAGTCTCATTAATATACCTGAACATGACTCCTCCGTTAAAATGTCCCGATTAATGCGACGTCACCATGTGACGGGACGGGCTGTTATACCTATTTATACGTTAGTTTATGTGCTGCTTTAGGTAAGTAATGAGGGATCGTTTGTTACCTTTGATTGCGCGTGAAACACACAGGTGAACGCTACAACCCCTGAAAATGTTACGCTCAGGTGCTTTGTGCCAAATACTCATTAAAATAGATTGAACGCCTCATGGCAAACAGGGTGTCTCGCACGAAATAAGGTTGTGGTTTTCTTACGTGTACCTCTATATAATTTTGATTCATACAATTTTCGCTTTGGGATATTTTTGACGTATTAAATTATTCAACTTCGAGTTCATATACCTGTTTTAGGTAATTTCAATTAAATGTTCTCATTAGTTTCTCAGCATTTCTCCCTTCATAGGAAAGTGGAAGTATTAATATGGCGATGCCAGTCGGCTGAACAGTCGGCTTGTATTATGTTACGACTACCGTACCTTTGACGTTGAAATTAATTTTACGTAATGCACACGCACGGGGATATTAAATTTTGGCACTATAATCGTTTGAATATTCTATTTAATCCTTTACTCTTTCTTCTTATTATTGAATTCGGATATACGTTCTAATTAATGGGTAGAGATAGTCCTCGGTAACTATGTATTTCAGAATCGATGTATTCATTTGAAGGCCTGTAACGATCTGCCTCATTAATTTGAACCAGCTTAGAAATTGTATACTAAACATCTCAACAGACCAAGTATTCAATGATAAGCCTTCAGGTTGATACTGTTTAAGGCTTACGACTATAAAATGTGTCTCGTCGATAGAACATTTGGATGTTTCCCTATAATTTCCCTGCCTTCATCAGAAATTTCACCGTATCGATATCGTTAGCTTATACAGAGTTAAAAAAGTCGATAATTTAACCACTGAAGCTCCTGGAAAACGGTTATTTTAACAAGCGAAGAAACTCCAATAGTTATGGACCTTCAAACTCCAAATGAGAATGAGTTCGAGTGATATAAATTGAGTTGCATGTTAAGGTACACACAGTGCAGGAACGAAAGTTGTTTTAGGACCGTGTAGTTCAAACGTTAGGCTCGTCCTGGATCTCTTTCAATATTACGTTGGGTACTCACGGATATTTTTCAAATAAGTTGTTTTTAGATAATTAAGCCACCCTGTATGATACACAATGTAACAACTATTATTTATTTTAAATATAAAACCTTACGAGTCGATCGAATTTTCACACTAAAATTAATGGAAGAGTAGAAAAGTAAACTTTCCCAAATCTCCAGTTCGTAATTTCCTTAGAAATAAGATGATTGCCGAGGCGTTGGGAGGTCCTAGCTTAATTAACGCTGCCATAAAGTTTAATAGAGGTATCTGGAGTAATCAGAGTGGGAACACTTGGTTGAATAACAGGAACCTTATAATGGAACTCGGTTTTGACAAGACTCCGTGAAATGTTACAAGGTGACGTGTCATTAAATTCCGTTTCTTTGATTGCAGAGTTCGTGAGGAAAGTCATCCAGCTGTACGAAACGACGGTGGTGCGACACGGATTAATGCTCGTTGGTCCAACTGGGTCGGCGAAGACGAAGGTAAGTGCTATTCCATAACCAGAAGAACCACTCGAATTAACTCGATCGCGAGGATCCTCGATCACGGATCACGTAGTCGAAAATCCCGCTCAGAAGGACGCTCTCCATTCGTTCTAGCAACTTCGTAGGATTTCAATGAGACCTTGAGTGTCCTTGTGAAAGAATAATTTTCAAGTCCCCTCCACGTATTAGGAAAATGTTCCTTCACTGCATTTTTCGTTATAAGAATTTGCGAGTTGTTCCGAGCGTCGTTATCGACGCTAATTTGTCCTAGAATAGGAAAATTCTCGCTCGATGAAGGGCACAGATGCTTTGCACCTGAAATAACGAGCTGTTCTCTGTCGCTTTACAAGCAATTTTCAATATGTTAACGCGGCGCTTGCTGTTAGCGTTCACTACGAGTTTGCTTCGTATTTTTATTTCAACACTTGTTTTGAACAAAATTAATAACAGCGACACACAATTAATCAAACGGTATGTAACTACGTCTGACACGGATTGAAAAAGAAAAGTGTCGTGAACTTTGCGTCACTTATACGCGAAAAAGATTATAAATTGATTTCAAATATTTATTTTGTCACTTCGAAGCGGCGCTTCCGTAAAATCGCAGTGTTGTTTAGTTGAGTTTATTTAGGTACGTTTTATACGCTTAGAATATTAATTTTGCACGAGTTCTATCTTCTGCAATATTTTGTAAGTTTCCAATTCTCGTGTCGCAAGTTTGAACAATTTGAACAATTTGAACAATTGTCCCAGTTTCGTATCAGCACGCGAATGTCAAAGATAGGAGATGTTTTTCGTGCTTCAACTGAAGAGGGAACGTTCTAGAAATTGGTATAGGGGTTATACGGCCACTTTACGTATCGTAAAGGCGTGTTTCAGGGATCAGTCGACGAAAACAAGTCGACGAATAAAATGAATCCCACGAGTTGCTTTCAGTTAGGCTTGTTCCGGTTTCTTTCCATGCGAGGCAGAACTTTGATACGATAGCTCGAGGAAACCTATGTTACAATCGGAGAGGATTGAGTGCTTCCCTTGGCAGACGATGATGACGAAGGTGGCACCCCCGAAAATGGCGGAAAGGCCTACCACGGAGATTGAGGTTCGCTGTTCGTGTATAATAGGGAGAGATAAACGGGGATTTAGAAGCACCCCTACCCATGTCAAATTGGCTATCGCCGGAATTACAGCAACGTCGTAGAGACAAAAGGAGCATCAGTCGATGCGAACAATACCATTTGTATAAAACACCCTTTCGCGGGGCAAATAAACCAAAATGGGAGAGGATCGAATAAAAACAAACTGTATCGCTTTTATTTAGAGGGTTTTATCCTCAACAAGTCCCCGATATTCCGCGAATACACATTCTAGCGTGAAATTTCGTACACAGTTGTCAAAGATTGGATAAAACTTTAGAAGTAATAAATAGATCCTCTTTTGCCAGAGGATAAAGTTAATTTAGTTGTATTGTCTCGAGCAAAAGAATGTGAACTGCAAGTTTACGTTATATTCATCAACTTGAAACGAGAGCAAAAAAAGTGGCGAGTTAAAGGAGAATATCGATAGAATTTGAGATAATTAGAGAAGATTATGAATGACGGTATGCAGAGGAAGAGATGCTTGATAGAACATTCTTCTTCTTTGGTATTTCTTCGTATCACCAGCAGTAGATGTTTATTTATTTACAAATGTATGGAATGAAGGTCACAGTGGGTTAAGAATAACGGTGTGGCAAGACTGATCCAAAAAGTTAACATTGTTCGACTTTTTATTCGCAGTAATAAACTATACTTACAGATTCTGAGAGGATTACACATTTACATTTGCGAGAGTGCTGTGTTTACGTGTACGTTTAGCGAGTTCTATTGCACGATGTTTCGTGTAGCCCTCAACTCGTCGACAGTAACGAAGATACATTAAAGAAGGTAGATTCTATCATGTTTCCTTAATATCCGTAATACCGTTCGCAGAGGCGTTCGAAGGATAGTTAAAATTTACATATTTTATACAACTATATCGACTAACACGTTGCTCGAGGCGATTAGAGGATCGTTCTCATTGAAGGAGAAAAAATAATCACCGCTATGTCGTACTGTTATACTGTGTTATCCTAACGAATTATTCCTTTTAGTAATGTTCAACATAAAAATTCAGCAACTCGAATCCTTCTTTAAATCGAACGATAAATCCTATGAAAGTGATCATTAATTGCACTAAATCCTCGCCTACGTCAAGTAATACTCAAATGTCCTCCTCTAATTGTGTCGAGCAAGATAATCATAAATATAGTTTTAATATTAATGAGATCCGACATTATACATACATATATTACACGTTACTCTAATTACACATCGATTCGCCTGCATCGCGGCGCTCGTATTTACAAACTACGTAGGACACTGGTGCTTCCAAGGACGATGCCTAGAGTGAGACATGTATGTCACAGAAGTTTGTCGTTTGTCGACTAACACTAATTAGCAACGATCGAGGGTACTGCATTTGTACATACACGCCTACAAATTACGTATCTGAGTTATATACATACGCGTTCTACAACTATATACATTTACAGGGTAGATATATTGTGAATCATTGCCTCGTCGAAAATTGTATTATAGTTAATTGCTGTAAGTGTGGTGAAAGTATCTTAAAGTAACGATACCTTAAACGATTATTATCCATACGTTGTCATTTAAGTTAATGCAGAAGAATCTTCCTCATCTGTCTATATCCTGCATGCTTATCTGTATAAACATCCACGGTATAGTCATTACGTTGTAACATTTACGATACAATTATACGTAGCATATACTGTTTGACATAGATTACCTTATTAATTGCATTTACAGTATGTTCGCTATACACGGTTAAATCTAATTACATATACATCTCTAAACTCTTATAATTTAGATTCTTATTATTTAAATTCTTAATGTATACAGTGCGTTTGCCGCATATATCTTGCCATATTTTCATAAATGCATAAACAATTTATGCAATTTATTCATTATGCTCTTTTCTATACACGTTATCATGTACATGGGAACTGAACGTCACTTGAACAGGTAACAATGACAGTCGATTAGCTATATCAAACTGTACGGAAAAGAAACAATTAATTCTGAAAGGAATGACGCCGAATGCATGATATTAGATCAGACATGTTTTTTTGCATATTGATGCACACGTTCAATGCAAACTTGGAAATTTTGTGACGATGGCGCGTGCTATTTCGCTCCTTCGTCCTAAGTGTTATCTTTTGGCACTCAACCTCTCTTCATCGACACTTAACAGCATTTCTCGATGTATTTTTAAAATATTGACAACCATCCAGCAAGAATGGCGAAGACACTAAAAGTGAAAGTGACTCAGCCGTCGAGAAGCACGAACAATTCGATAAATAAATAACAAGGCCTGCCTGCTGACGTGGGACTCTTGAAGCTCTATAAAATACATTTTGTGAAAAATATAAATCTCAATGATTGCCAAATATATGGCACCAACTTCGTCCTACCACAAGGTTCATCCCGTTTACAAATTGAATAAACAAACAAAAATATCATAAACCTCTATCGTTTGCCTTTGCATGTTCAGCGTTCGTCGTGTCGAGTTTCAAGCGAACCAAATATCTCGCGTTCACCTTCCCTCTCCCAGACGGGACACGTCTCGTCGATAGCAGACAGGTCGATTAGCGGAAACACTGATAAATATTCGGAAAGCCATGGAAAGTCGAGCAACGTCGGCGGCCCGTGTAAATCAGCTATAATGGATGTGATCTTCGACGCGGAAGAAACAGCCAATCCAAATATTGACGTTGGCACCCAGTGCCGCGACCCTTCGTTCCCGTTTCAAACTAGAGAACCTCGATGATGTCTTGATCGTTGGATAATTCCATTTGCCTCTTTCTAGCGAAGAAGTGCGATACCAAAAGTTCAAAACGTATCTACGTTTGCGCGCGAAAAGAGTGAATCTCTACTTTCTTAAATATCAGTTCGTTTCTAGTTTATTCGAATTTCTGCTTAATTAATACAGTGTTTGTCATGACAAAACATCGTGGAACATTTAGCCCAGAAGGATATCAAAATGCTGATGTCAGCATACTTGAAGTAACACGAGTACTTCTGTGACTCACTGCGCTGGGTAACAACATGTAATTTCACACGATATACGAGAATTGTTATCGGCAATCTTAACGACTCCATTTAGGGAAACGTTTTCGTGATTTACTCGTTTTCACAGATTCGTAGAACGCTACGTTTGGATGGTTAAGTATTCATCCTCACGCAAGATTTACACACAGACGAACAATTTCATTTCTACCCCTCGCGTAGGTTTATTAGCGGTTGATTGGATTGTTGGAAAATTGCTGCATAGAGTAGAGGTCGAGTTTCATTTATTCACAAAGAAACCATACAATTTTTAATCTTCCCTCAGTCACATATTCGTTTGAAAAGAAAATGTTCAAACAAAAGCATGTTACAAGATGAACTTGATTTAGCCACACGAGGAGCATTCGTTCTATCAAGGAAATTGACTATCTTTTTACGAGGCACTTATGCCCGCTGGGTAATACATCCCCGTTTAACTTGGAAAATTTCGCTGAAATTTATTCGTCGTAAATTCAAACTTTCTATTTTTCATGCAGATCCGTAAAAGTTTTACAGCTTTTTCCCGTGGAGGGGGAGAAACGTTCCCCAGACATGAAGTTTAAGAAATTCTTCCGTAAACGTTGATCGAGAACAGAAGACAAAGACTCGCGAAAATGTTTTCCCTCGAAGGTTTCAAATCGAATACTTCACCGTATGTAACTAACACCGTATTATGTAACTTGTCTTACATTCGACTTCCAACTCTCGATCAGATAACTGCTTCCAACGCAAACATTATTTTACCTTTCCGTCGGCCCATTGCTTTTCCACACCTTGCGCCTCTCTCCTTAGAAGTACTAGGTAGTTCGAAAGTCGGCGGTCACGTTTCCTTGGTCGATTCGTAGCTTTTCA